GGCTGTAATGTAAACACTGCATTTTCTCTGAAAAGACAGTGTTTACAGCAAAAAGCCTGATGTAATGATTCTACTGACCAGAACAAATTCAATAAGCTGTAGTTGTTCTGGTGACTATAGTGTCCCTTTAAATCTGTATATACCACAATTAGGGTGTATGTCTAACAGTGTTGCTAGTTTTTCAGTCTTATTTTAACAGACTTGGGATACACTGCAGCACACTTCCCCAGATATAGGAATTTAGCAACATTTGCTTTCTAATAGAGATTTGTATGAACATTTGTACTATAATAGACTGTTGCTACCGTTTCAACAGTATAGTTACATGTTCATCTAACAAAAACGTATCTGTATTCGGCTATTCACCCTCTGGCTACACTTCTATTTTACCAAAATTAATATTTGGGTGCATTACAACTGGAATTAACGGCTGTAGTGTGCTAGCTTCTTAATCTCAAATTTCCCCGAACATAGACATACGCACCAGAGCAGGGAATCCCTCTAATATATGTTCAGGGAAAATTCCACGAACATAGACCTGCGCTGGTGTGCATGCGCTTCACTTACCGACCAATTTGTTTAATGACTGGGTCGTAAGAATGGAACCTGGTCAGTAAGTGAGGAGCATCTGTAATCTATTATTTACAGTGCTTTGTACAAGTATGTGTTTCTGATATTTTGCATTTGTTGTGCCTTCTTTCTCTCTCCTTCTTCCGTCTATGCATTCTGCATTTTCTCTATTTATTTTCTCTCTGCTATTTATTTACTCCAACAATTCCCACTGTAACTGTATGTTACACTAAACTTTCCAGTGTCCAACATTGACTCAATTTGATTGCACTAAAAGACTGCCATTATAGAAATTCAATGTCCAGTAAATTGTGTAAATGTTAGCATACACTGATGTTGAGATATAACTTTATGTTTATAGAATGCCACTGTTTATGAGTCTGAGTAAGGAGCATTTAGAATCTATAACCTGAATCGGAAAAATAGTTATTTACAAGTTTAGAAATAATGAATTTAAAGTGAAATAATAATTGTGTCCATCAAAGTTTACTCAATAAAATAATCCTCCATGTGCAGCAATTAGAGTCTTTGGTCTTCTAGTTGTTGATAAGTTAAGGTAATCTGAAACGATTTCAATGCATGCTTTCTGAAGCACGTTGGATTGTTTTGATGGGCACTTCTTGCTTACCATATGTTTAAGCTGCTTCAACAACAGCACAATAGGGTTGAGTTCTGGTGAATGTGGTGGCCACTCCATTAAAGACTGAATACTTCTTCCCTAAATACTTCTTGCGTATTCTGCATCTATGCTTTAGGCCATTGTCATGGTTGGATATTAACTCCAATTAAGCACATTCCAGTGTATGGCATGACCTCTTCAATGTCCATTTTGCTTTGTTAGACATCAAGGTCAATTTAGTCTAAAATAGTTGGTGGTGATTGGCTGAGATTACTAGGGGCATAGTAGCCCAGTGCTTTCAGCCTATCAATACTGCCAAGGTTGGATGAAATCAATATTGACACTGTGGAAGTGTTTATTCTGCAACTTAGCTAGGAAAAGCTCAAGGTTTTATCAAAATGCTTCCAATGGTTTCCAGAGAATCCAAGCATCATAACCACTATTCTGAGCTGCATTGATGATATGGCTTAGTGTGTTCCTTTAACAAGCTGTAATGACTGTTAAAGGGAATATTTAATTCCTAACATGGCTCAGCGGTGGATTTGAGCTTTTACAGTATATCCACTGTCAGAACCTTTCATGGATTTTTCTATAAACTTAGTATTCTTTGTTCGTCCAAGAAAAGCAATACTTGTATAGAATTGTTGTACAGCCATTGTTTCCTCTGGATGTAAGGATTCCATGTTCAAATTGTACTTATTACTTTCCATGGCAACACAACACACAAGTTATGGTTTTTTTTTTACTGCAATGTGTTCAGTAGAGTTAAAGTATTTGTTAATGATACTATCAAAGTATCTTTGGGCAGTGACTTTGACACTAGTTTACTTGCAGAAATTGAGGAAAACTGACAAAGGGATTGCAAATTGTAGGTTGAAAAAGCTGGAAATTTAGTTAAATTCTAGAACAGATCTGGGCAAATGGTAAACCCATAGATTTTATAGTACTACAACTGTCAAGGATAGATCCTTTGTCCACCCTTGTTCTAGAATGATCACAATTCAGTTATTTTGTCTTACATTTTAAAAATTAATTTCTAGTTCACCACAATTCCCAGTTTTGTGAATAAGTTAGTTACAGACAAAGGAATCTGCAATATTATAGTTCTAGACAATATTTCAGAGTTTGATGGTTTCAGAAGGGGCCAAGTACATCTCTCTTCCAGCATGACCTCTTTAAGGTCCCTTTAACCTTGTGTAAACCTCCCACTTTTCTACCTCCTGAGAACCCCCAGCCCATCACAAAATCGACATGTTAGACAGATAGCGTCAAATACTCCTCCAGCATCTGTTCATTTGGTATTTTCATGTTTATATTTGTGACCCAAAAATTAGATTTGCCTGTCCATAACTCTTTTACTCTAATCTTCTTCTGTCCAGTGTCTGTGTTCTTTTACCCATCTTTACCTTTTCTTTTTTTTTTTGGCTACTTTGCAACTCTGCCTAGAAGTGCATCCCAGAGTCCTCTGTTGATCTTTAGACTATTGTTTTGCATGTACTATTTAACAAACCTGTGAGGCATCTGTTTCTCAAACTAGACATTCTAATGTATTTGTCCTTTTGCTCAGTTGTGCACTGGGGCCTCTCTCTCCTCTTTCTACTCTTGTTAGAGACAGTTTAAGCTTTTGTTTGAAGGAAGTAATACACAACATTGTGTTAGATCTTTCATGGCAATTTCTCAAATGTAATCACCTTCATTCCTCAGAACAAGAATGGATTAATGAGTTTCAGAAGGAAGTTCCTTGTTTTTGGTCATCTTGAGCCAGTAATCAAATCCACAATTGCTGAAGCTCCATATATTTAACTAATCAAATAAAGGACAGTTTTTGTTGCGTCTTTAATCAGCACAACAGTTTTCTAATGATCATTTAGACTTCTCAAATGATAAATTTGTATTACCATGAACAACTTGCCATTGGAACAGAGGACAGACAGTTGGTGATAACGGACCTCTGTACACTTATGTAGATATTCTAGTAAAAATCTGCCATTTCCAGCTACAATAGTCATTTACAACATTAACAATAACTACATTGTATTTCTGATTAATTTGATGTCCTTTTAATCAAAAACAATGACATTTCAATTTGACTTTTTTTCCAAATCAGCTGTTTGACAAGATTTTGAAATTCACTACTGTAAAATGCAGTGTTTAGTGAATAAAACCCTAAAATGTTTAGAAATATTTAGGTAGGTGCAATTTATAGTTTAATCTTAAATCTGGATGATGAGATGAACTTTTATGTATCCATTAAGTGAACCTGAATCCTTCCTTTTCAATAGAGCCAAATGAATAGATGCATCGCCGTGTTAAATGCCAACTCGAAAATGTAATGCGAAGCAATGCAATCTAAGCTAATGTGTTTTCTTATTAACAGATGATACAGGAGGGTAGCAATTTGCCATAGATCTTCTTTTTTAATCTGCTGTACAGCACAGCTTTTAAAGCACAAAAATGGGCATAAAAATCCTCGCAAGGAAACCCACTCAAAATCTGTGTGAGCTTGAGGGCCATATGTAGCTTCTAACCCATATGATCTTTAATGACCTTGTCATGCTACAGGAATAAGGATCTGACTTCAAGGACAAATTAACCCTCGGTATGCCACATGGTTAAATACTAACAAACATAATGTGATGTGATTGGAACTCTTTTAAAAGATATCCTCTGCTTAACGTTGTGAATTTTTCTCTTTTTTTTCCCCCGCCATTCCTGCCATGTTAAATAAACCCTATCCCACGTACGTCAGTGAAGTCTCTTATCATATTACCATCGCTTTGTTCATAAAATAAATTACAGATGATCACATCTGTATGTTTATTCCCCGGAACCCTCAGTTATTGATAAAAAGTAGCCCCATGTGTGATTATGTGCTCAAACAACATTTCTGGACTTGTGATAGACATGAATATGCTCATAATTGTCCTATTTCATAAGCCAGCAAGAAACCTGGGAATAGAAAATCCAGAGTAAAAGAAAGAAGGGCAAGGAGGAATAAAAGAATTGCTAACAAATTAGGCACTGTGTGGGAGGATATGTCAGCTATTCCTTATTAGCAGAAGCTGAAGAACAGAATTTGTAGCTGCTCCCCCTCCCTTTATTATAACTACAGTATGCATGCTTTCATATGTCTCCTTCAAGAATATTAAATACCAGATAAAGCTCTTTAGCCTCTATTTTTATGTCTTCAGTGAATTCCTTCCACAAAATATCTGAGGCTTAATTAGAGGAATTATGCATTCCTCCTTCTCGACACCTATGCATTCTGTCATGGCCATATCCAACGTTGTCAGTGTGTGAAGACTGAACTAACATCGGAATAACACAGCAGAGAGGATTTTCACAACTTCACTGAGGTTATATACACGTTTCTGTTATTTGGGTTAAGAGATTAAGAGAAAAAAAAAAAAAAGAAAGTAAATGAAGCTGTTGATATGTCTCTGCGAGTGATTACTGCATGCTGCAGCTCCAATATCATTAGACATTAAACCGATTACGGTTAATTTGCCTTATCAACAGCTCAAGAATGTAGGATAACAAAAGGCTGAAGTCCTGAGAATTGTAAGGTTATGATCTCTCTATTTTCCAACAAATTAATATATAGAATACATAGCACATTTTTTCAAGATGTCAAAGGCAGGGCCGTTTTAGCCGTGAGGCAAACAAGGCATTTGCCTTGGGTGGCATTTTCCAGGGGGCGGCAAATAAAGCCATCCCCAAATGCCCAGGGCAAATGCCTTGTTAGCCTTGCAGCTAAGTGACATGCTGGGCAGGTGGGCGGCGCTGGCAAGGGAGCACTTTCCCCTGAGCTGTCTGCTCAGCTCCTTCGCCTGCCACCCGCAGAGTGAGGCCGGGAGCCGGAATATGACATTACGGATCCCAGCCTCACACTGCGGGTGGCGCGCGAGGGAGCTGAGCAGACAGCTATGGGGAAAGTGCTCCCTCGCCAGCGCCGCCCGCCCAGCAACTAGCCCATCAGCCCGACTGGCAGCCCCAGTGAGAGGGAGAACCCCCCCAGCATTCCTAAAGGTAAGGAGGCTGGGGGGGTTAAATTAAAAAAAAAGTGAGTGTTAATGTGAGTGAGTGTGTTTGTCTGTTAGTGTGTGTGTGTTTGTTAGTGTCTGTGTCAGTGTGAGTGTGTGTGTCAGGGAGTGTGTGTGTGTATGTGTGTGTCTGTTAGTGTATGTGTGTGTCAGTGTATGTGTGTCTGTTAGTGTGTGTGTCTGTTAGTGTGTGTGTGTGTGTGTGTGTCTGTTAGTGTGAGTGTTTGTGTGTCTGTTAGTGTGAGTGTGTGTCTGTTAGTGTGAGTGTGTTTGCCTGTTAGTGTGTGTCTGTTAGTGTGTGTGTCTGTTAGTGTGTGTCTGTTAGTGTGTGTGTGTGTGTCTTTTAGTGTGTGTCTGTCTTTTAGTGTGTGTGTGTCTTTGTGTGTGTGTGTGTGTCTGTAATAAACGTTTAACTCGCAAGTTGGAATAAACTTGGAATTAATAATAACATTAATAACTAAAAATAATAACTTAAAAACCGAGTGTAAAGTCAGAGTCCACACTCCTTGCTTTCGACAATTCAATAATACTTATTAATAAAGGCTAATCAAACAAATAAACAATACATATACATTTGAAATAGGCTAGTATATGTTGCTACTAAAACTAATCGTTGACTGAATGTAAAGTAGGCTAAATTAACATGGTAAAACAGGCATAGACATGTGATACAGTTACCACTCCATCGATCAGCAGCTGAGAGTAAGAGAGAGAGGGTGTGTATAGTGGGGAGAGGGGAGAGAGAAGGTGAAGAGAGGTAATTCAAAGAGAGAGAAAATTTGCTATTCACAGGGCTTTAAACAGGTTAGTCCCTCCTTCTGCTGGACACACCTCCCTTAGTCAATCCCTTAGGATCTAACAGAACCAGAGTGCCTCCTGGGGGAAGAGGGATTGCATTGGAAGGGAATGGAGGAGGAGTTTATCAACGACCTAACTGGTTTTGCCTTGTGAAAGGCCATGTGCTTCACAGAGGACTCCATTATTGCATAAGGGTAGAATGGGGGCTTGAATCCCTGTATTAGAACACAATAACACTTCGTTGGCATACAGTTTGGCTGTTAATCACATCCCCCCACTTATTACAGTGTCTGTTAGTGTGTGTGTGTCTGTTAGTGTGTGTGTGTGAGTGTGTTTGCCTGTTAGTGAGTGTGTGTGTCTGTTAGTGAGTATGTGTTTCCTAGGGCAGCACAAAACCAGGATACACCACTGGTCAAAGGCACTGCTAATATAAAGGAAATTACTGCACACAGAACTGGAAGGAACTCCAGTTGCCAACTGTATATGCAAGTCCACTTGCCAACTGTATATGCAAGTCACACAACGATTAACCCTTCTCTTCTAATTCTATTAAAGTGTATCTGTCCCACTGTGTAGTGCAGAGAAACTAGAAATGCTGCCTCTCTCCTTTTACCTTTCTCCTCGTTTCATACTTTTTGTTTGAAAGCACATTGATGGAAGGACATGGAGGGGTGTGTGGTGGGCACACTCAAGGGCTTTAGATACAAATACATGACTTCATGTTAAGCTTGTTGTGACATTTTGGACAACGTTATTCCCTAAAAATGCTAAGTAGTTTCCTTGCAAGTGCACACAAGTAAGGTATTTGACCATTTTTACTTATCTAGTTTGGTCACAACCACTCTACATGATGGAGGTACTAAATAGGATTGAGGCTTCCTTGGTACTAAATAGGATTGAATGTATCACTTCAGTCCTCCTTGGTAACATAACCATTTGGAATACAAGGTAGGAGCACACTCTTAAAAAAAATACTAGAGAAAGTTCTATCCAAAGACAGAGTTTCCTAGCTGATAAGTAAGAAACTAAAGACAATACTTCTCTATAAAAGGTGTCTAAAAGTAATGTGATTAGATAAAGGTATAAAGGAGATTTCCAGAAATTGCTACAATGTACTATACAGACTTTATTGAGGAGCGCACTCTGCCAAACTGGTCAACAATAACTAATGCAGCATCTGACCATTTTTAAGATGTAGGACCAAGCTAGAAATGGCTTTCATAGCTTTGCAGTCTTTACAACTAATTCATGGAGGCTATAGAAATCATTAAAAAAGGACATATATATATATATATATATATCATTATACTTTTACAAGGAATATAGCTAGTGCAACATATAGATTCATTTTTTAATCATGCAATACGCATTTCGGTGTGAAAGCACTCCTTCTTCGGAGTCCCATGACGAAGGCTTGCTTGCATATCGAAATGCGGGTTGGGTTTTTCCTTTCTCTTCACTACCTGCATTTATGAGTAGCATGTATTTTTCATTTTCTTTTCCTATTGTGGGCTCTGACAGTTATGCTCTTCTCAACTTCTTTTAACAATTTTCTTAACAATTTAGTGTGTGCTGAGGTAGTCTTAAGTGTTGCTCATATAGTATTACTTATGTATATATATTTTTCACCCCTTAGGTTTGAATTTACACCTGCCAGGGTGATATTTCCACATTGATCAGCCACAACATTAAACCACCTGCCTAATATTGTGTAGATCCCCCTTGTGCTGCCAAAACAGCTCTGATGTGTTGAGACATGGACTCCACAAGAACTTTGAACATGCCCTGTGGTTTTTGGCACCAAGACTTCAACAGCAGGTCTTTGAAGTCCTGCAAGTTGTGAGGTGGGGCACTCATGTATCGGATTTGTTATTCCAGCACATCCCACATATGCTAAATTGGATTGAGATCTGGGGAATTTGGAGTTTGGGGGAACACCTGGTACTCTTTGTTGTTCCTTAAACCATTCCAGAACAATTTTTGCAGTGTGGCAGGATGAGTGTGCTGAAAGAGGTCACTGCCATCATGGAACTCCATCGCCATGAAGGATTATACCTGTTCTGCAATAATCTCTGGATAAGTGGGATATATCAAGGTAATATCCACATGAATGCCAGGACCCAAGGTTTCCTAGCAGAACATTGCCCAGAGCATAACACTGCCTTCACCATCCTTCTTTCTTCCCATAGTGCACCCTACTGCCATTTCTGCCACAGATAAATGACACACACACACCATGCCAAACACATGATTCATCAGCCAAGGCTGCCTTCTCCCCCCCCCACTTTAAGGGATAAAACCCTTACTGTACTTACCCAATTTAAATGCTGATCTCCCTCTTTGCTGGGTTGGTGCTCTGCAGTAACCCAAATTAGGGGGGGTGCTTATGCACAGGAGCAGTGAGCATTAGGCTCTCTCCATAGCAAAGCATTCCAAAAGTCACCTAACAAACAGGAAGTGCCTCTAGGAGCTGTCTAATTGAAGCAGTCTTAACCCTGCAATGTATTTTTTTGCAGTTTATCAGAAACAGTTTTTTATCAAAATGCTTCCAATGCTTTGACAAAAAACCATGGAACCCAGCGAATCCAAGCATCACAACCACTATTCTGAGCTGCATTGGTGATATTGCTTAGTGTGTCCCTTTAATAAACTCTAATGACAGTTAAAGGGAAAGTTTAATTCGAAACATGGCTCAACTGTGGATTTGAGCTTTTACAGTATATCTACTGTCAGAACCTTTCATGAATTTTTCTATAAACATAGTTTTCTTTGTTTTGTCCATGAAAATCAATACTTGTATAGAATTGTTGTACGGCCATTGTTTCCTCTAGATGTAAACATTCCATGTTCAGATTGTACTTATTACTTTCTATGGCAACACAACACACAAGTTATGGTTTCTTTTTACTGCAGTGTGTTCTGTAGAGTTAAAGTAATTGTTAATGATACTATCAAAGTATCTTTTTGCAGTGACTCTGACACCAGTTTACTTGCAGAAATTTAAGAGAACTGACAAGGGGATTGCACATTGTAGGTTTAAAAGGCTGGAAACTTAGTTAAATCATAGAATAGATCTGGCCAAAATATAGCTCCTTAGATTTTGTAGAACTACAACTTCCAAGGATAGATCTTTTGCCCACCCCATTCTAGAACATTTACAAATTTGTTATTTTGCCTTACATTTTAAAAACCTATTTCTAGTTCACCACAATTCCAAGTTTTGTGACTAAGGTAGCTACAGACAAAGGTATCTGCAATATTATAGTTCTAGGCAATATTTTTAGAATTTGATGTTGCCACATTCACCACATTCATTCTTAGGCAATTTAGTTGACATTATACCAATGATATCTTATAATACAGAGTGGGACAAATTGTCAGACAACAAGTAACATGATGGATTAACAATTACTCACAGATGGGCTTTCCATGCACTGCACAGCTAAACTATACACCTATTAGATCACATCAACTTCTTATCTGTAGCACAAAAGGATATCAAGTGCTGATAAAAATTTTTTATATCTTAATATAATGTCTATGCACAAGGGTGATAATCGTTCAGTTAAATTGTCCCACAATAGAGGAGTAGTCTACGCACCATAACTACAGTATGTTGTAGTGGTCCCTCTATCAGATGTCTGCTGATGATATTCTATGGTAAGGAGTCACACCATTTTTGAACAATGTAAGACTTACCTGAGTAATGCAGATTTCTGCAATCTGCCCCTTTTCTCTGTTGTATAGTTGCATAGTTACATGGTTACACAGGCTGAAAAGAGATATGCGTCCATCAAGTTCAGACTTCCTCACATTTGTTTTTTGCTGTTGATCCAAGAGAAAGCCAAAAAAAACCTGTTTGAAGCACTTCCAATTTTCCAGCAAACTAGGAAAAAAATTCCCTCTTGACACCAGAATGGCAGTCAGATTTATCCTTGGATCAAGGAGCTAACACCCTACAGTTGAAAAATTATACCATTAAATATTACGTTTTTGCAAATATGCATCTAGTTGCTGTTTAAACATCTGTATGGATTCTGATAAAAACCACTTCTTCAGGCAGAACTTTCCACATCCTTAT